TGATAATACACTCGTTTGTATTCAAATATTGTTTTTTGATATTTTTTTTCTTTGACTGATATACATTCATTTTTTTATCAGAATCTGTAAACTCATTCTTACAGATCTTCAATCATTTCTCTCATACATATCGAATAATCTAATCATTGTCGCATCATTCGTTCGTTAATTGTGCATAAAGCCAAATTGCTTGTTCAATTTTTTATCTAATCATTGTGCTTTAAAGAAATAATATTTTGATCAACCATTGTGATCATCTAAGCATAAAATGTAACTTTATGAGGGACTGAGTGCTTATCAGAAATACCTCAATGGAATGTCAGAACCGACAAACCTACCCATGAGGACAACCATATCTGAGTAAGCTTTAAATCAAAAAGGGTTTGTGTGCTGAGATTAAAATGAAAATGAGAGGGGTAGTTGTTGTAAGCCAAAAGAATTGATGAGCTCTGTGTCAAGATTAAAAGAATACGAAAATCTTGTTCCAAATTTCTAAAGTCCGGGCATACCACATCATCTATTAGTTCTCAATTCTTTCGAGACTAATATTGAAAAAGGCAAAGCCCAGGCCAATTCTTGTCACAACTCCACCAGCTACTCATGTATCTCTCAACAGATAAGTGTTTCAATAACACTTGAGGCACGCAACTTATCATCTATCAATTTCTCATTCGGAGAAAGTTGATATTGAATCAGAAGGATATATGYCCCCCCCCCCTTCAAGTCTTTTTGATCACATATTGAGTCTGATAAATTTGTTTAGTTCACACGGTTTATCTTTTTGAGTCTAAACAGAAGCATATGTTGCTTTATCTTTCTACACTACACAGATTTAGCATTTTATATGTTAATTTGCCAAAACATTCATAGATATGCTATTTTTTAGCTATCAATGATTGAATGGAGGACCTGGTGAGATGAGCATCAAAAAGTCTCATATATACAGTACATCTGTTGCACTGAGTATATCTATTATACTCACAGGCCAATCTTTTTATAAGATTGAAAACAATTTCATTCGTTAAAGTTGGATGTTACTTTCTCATTTCCTTAATCTGAAAAGATTAAACAAGTGGATTTGCAAAGATCTACTTACAGTTTCTTGAATTGACGGCTTACGCGGAAAATTTCATTCATCTTATGTATGATGGAATGATTCTCATTTCATCATAAGGGGGAGTATGTAATAATGAATGAAATATTCATTTCCGAACATTTTAAAGGGAATCTGATGCAAAGATCAAGGGGGAGTAACTTCAAGTTTGGCAAAAGACTCAAAAGAAGTGCGATTGGAGATAATTACAGAAAGATTATTCATGTGCTACAACGACTGAGAGATGTTGAATGTGAAGATCATCTTTACAACAGTCACTGAAGATTAATTCTGAATATTCTTTGAAGATCAAATCTTGTACATTGTTTCTGATGATTACTGTTCTACATTGTCAAAAAAGAAGATCATTGTTGTTCTACATTCAAGGGGGAGAATGCTAGAAGATCTTTCTCAACAGTTGTTTGCTTGAAGATTTCATGTGGAAGAATTCTTTTGAAGATGACATAATATGCTTAAAGTTTTAAAGTTCAAACAGGACTTAAAGCGCAGAATTTCTTTCAAGTCTGAATACAAAGGGGGAGAATGTTAGGACTGAAAATCAGTATTAAATTGTATTCGTCTTGAAAGTTAAATATTGTCTATAATTGTAAAAGTCATCGTGTTTGACTTTTCTTAGATAGGTTTGACTTTGATTATGTTTAGTAGTTTGGCCCTATAAATAGGGTGATGTCTTTGTAAATTTAGGAAAGAAGTAGCTCATTTGTAAAATCATATTACTTAAAGAAGGTTTGACCAAGTATTGATTGTTGACTTTCTCTCTCAAATATCATCTTGTGTTCTTGAATGATATATCTTAGATCTGCCATTGTTATGAAGATGTATAGAAGATTGATCTTAAAGGGGACTATCTTATATATATATAGCTTCCCTAGTCTCTAGAGTAGGTCAACTCTTCATTGTAATTATCAACTAGTTATTGAGAGCGCCACTAAGGCAAAACCAATATTTCGTATTCCACATTTTGAATCAATAGAAGTCGACTGATTTGTTATTTAGATTGTGTAATTATTATCTCATTGTTTCTTATAAGTTATAATCATCTGGGCAAACAACAGTATCAAATAAACTTTTTATAATATAATTATTAAAAAAAATTCAAAAATACAAACTTAAATTTATCTTAATAAAATATATATAACCAATAATAACCACACATTTTAATTGTTTTGTACTTCATCTTGAATTGTTTTGAAATGATCGAAATTATATAAATTGGTAAGTTAGTTAAGCTATATAGTTTAATAAGTTAACTATATTTGAAATTAAAAATTATATTTATTTCCAAAACATAGATAAACATTTTAAGTATAAAATAATGAAAGTAGTTGTTAATTGATTATTTATTTTTCATTAAGAAAAGTTTATATTTATATTTCGAAAACATACTTAATAATTATATTAATTTTTTTATTTGATACACATTTTCGACGGAAATCTATGAGAAATCCCAAGAAAATCCGTCGAAAATTCCAAACCGTTAGTTGATATCCCATAAAAATTCCATCTAAAATGCCCTGCAAAAATCCATCGAAAATTCCATAAAAAATATTCATCAAAAATCCCATGAAAAATAATCCGTCGCAAATCCATAAAACAAAATCCATCAAAAATTCCATGAAAACATTTCCGTCGAAAATCCCATGAAACTAATTTCATCCAAAATTCGTCGAAGATTACTTCTATCGAAAACACGTCGAAGATATCCTTCAAAATAGTTGTCGAAAATCTTGGAATCTTCATGCGTTTTTTCAACGGATTATTTTTGTCATAAATTTCGTTGAAAATCTCTTGGAAACACATTTTCGACCAAAATTTTCTTGACGAGAATTATCGTTGAAAGTCAACATTTTTGACGGAATTGTCCGTCTTAAAAGTTCCTCTGTTTTGTAGTAATTAAATGAAGTATCTAAAAATAATACGTTTTCTTATTAATAAATATCAATAAATTTCAACTTTTATCTTACATAAATAAGAAAGAAAAAGAAAACCATACATTTTAAAACCAATTTAAAATAGAAGATGTTTTTTGGATTAAGAGAGACAAATTTTCATAGAATAAATTGCCTAAAAATATTCAATAGTCAATTCATTTTAAGCTAACCACAAAACTTTTTTAAACGTAAAATTTAGAAAATAACATAACATATTTTTAGTGTCTTTTTAGTTAAATCATCATTAACTAATTACATAAAAAGGTAAAAGATGTAAAAGGTAGGAAAGAAAAAAAAAATTAGAAAAAGACAAACCACGGGACTAAAATCGTAATTTACTGTAGAATTCAATAAACCAAAAACTAAAATTCCTTCTAACTTAACTAATTTTATTGCCTAGTGTTATTGGGAACCAAAAGTGAAACAAAATGCCAATCAAAATAATCAAAATTGTAATTAGTTTAAAATAATGACCAAATTTCAACAGAAGAAAAAAGAACGAAAAGATCTCATTTTTACAAATATATTGTTTAAAAATATATCATTTATAATGAAAAATTAGGTAGTTTTGTGATTTAAATAATCTCCTTTAAGGGGTTTTAATTGATTTCCTTTCTCTTTTCTTCCACATTTAAAAGGAAACTTCTCATTATTATTTTTTCGGTTCCTTTCATTTCTCTCCTAAAAAATTCCGCACACATAAAATTTTTGTTTTACTTTCCCTCTTTTTCCCTCTCCTTCCTTTTTTTCAAAAAAAAAAAGGTTTAAAAAACACGTAACTAAGGTGGCGTTTGTTTTTTAAGAGGTGCTGAAGTCTGAAGTCTGAATTCACTTCTGATTTTTAAGAGGTGGTGCTGAAGTCTGAAATCTGAATCAGTCAGACTGTTTGTTTTTGTAAACTGGCAAACGTCTGAAGTCTGAAATCTGAATCAATAGTTTGCTTTTGTGATTTCTGATTTCACTTCTGTTTATGTTCCCAAGATTCCTTTAATTCTTCCTTCTCCTCCACATCAAGTCTTCCATCCTCAATCTCCACCCTCATCCCACCACTCCTTCTCTAAAATCCAATGCCCAAATCCACCTCTAAAATTGAAGCAAATCTCCATCATGATGAAAACTATAGGGACGAAAATACCTTGATTCACGAGGATAAAGGTGCACAACTACTGGTTTGTACATGAACGAAAACACACAGTGGCGAAAACCCACAGAGAAGAAAACCCTCTTGATTTGGATCTGATTTGGGTCGATTTGAAGCCACCAGAGGCGATGGAGGGTGAAGTCGATCGATTGAGACGGTAAGAAGGGTGAAGTCGATCGATTGAGAGGGTGAAGTCGATCGAATGATGAAGTAGAAATCGGTTCTCTGAATAGTTTTTAGGATTAAGAGGAAAATAAGTGGCTAGGTTATCACTTAATTTTTAAGAGGAAAATAAGTGATAAGTGGCTCTGAAAGAAAAAGAAAAACAAACAGTCTGAATTACCTTATGTCTGACCGAATCAGACATAGGTGATAAAATAAGAGCTTTTTTCAAAAAACAAACACCACCTAAATTTCAATATGGTTTATGACCGGCAATCCCTAAACCTATTCACACAATCCCACCCTAAAAGGGTCATGTACAAGTTAAATAAGTAATAGACACAACACACAAGGGTCTCTAGGTGGCAGGGTTAAGAAGCCCAATCCATAGAATTTCTCTCAATATTTTTTGGCGTCAAACTTGAACTTCGCCTACTGGTTGCCATATGTGAAGAAGCCTAATTCAAATCAGAACCCATAAATAAGTAATAGGAGGCCAACACCCTTTATTTTTCCTCTAATTTTGATTTAGGAAAACGTTGTCAATAAGAAATTAAATAAACAAACAATATTATTATTTTTGGAACAACCAACGTGTATTAAAAACCAAAATGATGAATAATGATTTCTATAACAACATTATACAGTTTCTTCAAGCAAGCAACAGTGAGAAAATAGACAAGTTATGGACCTTCGCCTCTTCTTAGTCATGGCGTTCGGCTTCAGCTTCTCCGGTGGTTATCATAGGACGATTGCGGGTTCTCATTATCCAGCATCCGGATATCCTCTATCATCCTAACCACTTGATCAATTTTCGGTCTCGTTTCTGGGCTTTTCCCAACACATGCCATGGCTATCTGAAGCATTTGCACCATCTCTTCTTCTACATTCTGGTACTTTATCAGTTCCACATCGAACACCTCGGCCGTCCACTCTTCTCTCACCACGGACTGGACCCACCTTGGGAGGTCCACCACTTCATCTTGGCCGGACGATGCTGACTGGACAGGTGCTTTCCCAGTCAGCATTTCGAGTAGGATAACACCGAAGCTGTAGATGTCTGATTTTTGAGTAGCTTTTTTGGTTTCTACAACTTCGGGTGCATGGTAACCAGAGGTTCGTGGTGGGAGAGTAGGGATACCCATAAGAGGAGTTAACCCGAAATCGGTGATGCAGCCATGGTTGTCTTGGTTGAGCAAGATATTGGAGGCTTTGATGTTTCCATGAGTTAGTTTTCCAGAATGAATATGAGAAATCCCTTTTGCTGTTCCAAGGCCAACTCTTAATCTGGTTTCCCAATCTAGTGTTCTTGCTGAACCCCTGTTACCTGTATCACAAAATTCCCACGGCTTTCATAAACTTGAAAAGATTTTCACCAAGTGATGATATAATCTGAACTTGTTTGAAAGAGAAATGGATGACATACCATGTAATAGAGAGGACAAGCTGGTGGATGCAGCACAATCATAAATCAGTAACTTTTCATCCTTAGAATAGTAATAGGCAAGAAGAGGAACCACATTTGGATGCTTTGCAACACTCCCAATAATCTCCATTTGTTGTTCAAATCCTCTTTTCCCCACCACCACTTCTTTCAGCCTTTTTACCACCATCAATGTTCCTTCTCCTAAAACTGCTTTATAAGTTGTACCATAACCCCCCTTTCCCAGAACCTCAGCAGAGGCTCTGAGTAAGTCTTCAAGATCAAACTTATGAGCTGACCCATCAAAGAAAACCAATTTGTTCCTCCCAGACTCTTGCACACCACTGCTAAACTCCTCTCTAGGCTGCTCAATTCTCCCAAGACCAAAGGCAGCTTTCCCTTTACTCCCACTTGCTTCACCTTCTTTCTTCTTTGCACACCACACCACTAGTGTCAGAAGCATAAGCAATAGCATAGAAGAAGAAACCACAGAAATGGCAACCACAGCACCTTTGCTCAGTTTCTTATTGTCTTTTAGTTGAGTGGGCAGCTTTTGGGCCGGAGGAACGCGTGTTTGTGGTGGTGGTAAAACTAGATCTGTTGACGGAGAAGGTGAGAATGATGGAGATGGAGTTTGAGAAAGAGCAGGCGCGGGTGATGGTGAAGGCGAAGGCGAAGGCGAAGGCGAAGGCGAGAGACATTTGTTAAGGGGTGGTCCACACAACCCAGAGTTCCCTCCAAAAGATGAAGCAGGGAACTTATTTAAAGATGTTGGGATTGAACCGTTTAGTCGATTGTTACTGACATTAAAATGCTTAAGACCCGAGAGCTGGAGATCAGGGACCGATCCAGTGAGGGAGTTTCTCTGGAGGTTTAGTGTATTGAGGTTGGTCAAATTCTGGATTGAGGTAGGAATGTTTCCTGTGAAAGAATTGGAGGAAAGATCAAGTGTTACAAGTTGGGAAGAAAAAGAGGAAGGTATTTCCCCAAAAAAGTAATTTTTGTTGAGATATATATTGGTTAGAGAAGGGAGGGAAAGAATATCAAATGGGAGGCTGCCATTAAGGAAATTAGAATGAAGGCTAAGAATAGTAAGTGCATCCAGGTTCCCTAGAGTGTTGGCTGGAATAGGGCCATAGAGTCCAATCCCGGGCAGGCGAAGTGTAGTTACGCGTTTGCCATTGCAACTCACACCGGCCCAAGACTTGCAAACGGAAGTCTTGTTTCTCCAGTTGAGTTTTCGACCTTGTGGCACAGCAGCAGCAAAGTTCAGAAGGGCAATTTTGTCGGAGTTGAGATCAGCGATAGTTAGTGGCAGGACTAGAAGAAAGAAAAATAGCGAAGATTGGACCTCAGCCGAGTGTAGCTTCATCGCGCACATTAGTGAATGTCTACTCTTGTGGAGTCCTGATAGAGCCATAAATAGTGCACCAGTTTAAGGATATCTTCTCTATTAATGATAGAAGCAGATAAGGTAAATGTAACAGAAAGAAGTTAGAATGAAACCAAAAATTGCAACTGATCAAGGAAGTTGGCCTTATTAATGGAGACTAATTCATAACAACGTAACAAAGTGCTAAGAAACTAGAGTCCAAGTGGCATTTTTTGGAGGCATAAAGTCAACCTTTTCTCTCATGTCACAGCAGGTATACATTGATGGAAAAAAAGAGAAACCAGCTGTGAGTACTTTCTATAAACAATTAGATGATATATTATTCATAGTTTCTAAAATTCCTCCAGCATCCTGTTACCTGTTCCTTAATTTTCCATTTGTCGACGAAGATTTTTAGGGTGCGTTTGGTATGTAGACTACATGGGACAGGACGGGACAAAAAAAATAGTCCCATGTTTGGCATGCCATGGACAAAAAAAACATGGGACAAGGTGGGACTATTTTTAATTTTAGTTGGACAAATCTTGATTTTTTTTGTTCCACCAAAAAAGGTGGAACAACATGGGACTAAAGTTAAAATGACAATATTTTGATTGATTTGTTGTAATTTTACAATTATTATATGATATAAAATAATATTGAACAACATTTAGGGGTAATATGGTCATTTTAATAGTTTTGTCCCGTCCTGTCCTAGTCGTACCAAACATAGGACAGACAATTAATCATGTCCCGTCCTGTCCCATCCAGTCTGCGTACCAAACACTACCTTAATTCTTAAATTCATAACACCATAAACTAATTACAATAATCATACAAGCAGTTATATTCATGACAAATTTAATGAAATATTGGAACGTAATCAATACTTTTAAAATGTAATGATGACAATAGTTTCAAACATTAAACAATGCAATTTTTATAGTAAGGTAATTTTAACTTGAAAAGGATGTAACACCATTAACATGACACAGTGAATGAATTTTTTTGCAATTTCTGAAAGAACCACTAAGAACGGTTTTGACCTAAGTAGGGAAGAAGGTTCCAACATATACATAGCAGAATTGATCTAAGTCGCCAATGTGGAACTTCAATCAGTCGCTTCAAAAGAAGATAGACGAGCAAATATGGCTCAATTGTGGATCTTGCCTCTGGTATCATGTTAGAATAATTAGGAAAAACAAACCCACCTTGAGGTGGAGAAAGGAGGTTCCAAGAGGCAAGAGGAGAGACTTTTAACAACAGAAATGCATAAACTCCATGGCTTTGTGAAGCTAAAATTATGCGGCAGCTATAAATATTCAAACATTAGAGATAAAAATAATCAAGTATACCATGAACTCTGCATATATGTTTTCTGTAAGATATGAGGACGAGAGAGCAGTGTTCAGTCTTCGGTGAACGACAGTTATTAGAACTCTCCGGTGAAGAAAACTGCTTAACAGAGTCAGATTTGGATAACTAGATTTCGCTTTTCTCATACATACTCTTTACACGCATAAGAAGCGTCAATGCAAAGGTATTTTTCGCTACCTTTCGGAGAATATGATTTATGCAGAAGAAAATGAAGAAGAAGAAGAAGAAATTTTAAATCTCAAGGATGTTGAAAGAAAATGGCGGTTGAGAGGTTCTTCGTGAAGTAAACGGAAGGTTACTGACCGTATCTAAGAACAAGAACACAGATCTCGAGATCAATGGCTTCTTTCTCTCTCTCTCTTCTTTCTCTCTCACACACAAATTGTGTGTTTTTTTGATATCTCTCTCTCTCTCTCTCTCTATGTAGAGAATAACGAAGGGAGCAGAAGCAACTGCTCCGTTGACGATGATGGATGCAGGGTACGGAGGAAAGAGAGCAAATATTATGGGAAGAGTGGCTGGGCGAACTCATTTTATACCTGATATTAATTATTAAAAAATTAAAAACAAAAATATATTTTATTTAAAAAAGAGAGAGAATTTTGGTGTTGGTCCTTGAACTATGTCATTTTTAGCAAAACTCAATCTCTCAACTTTAGTTATTATAAATTTGTCTTTAGTGTATACAAAATCATCTGGTTTTGCTCCTGCTTACAAACTCTCGTTATCCTTTTTTTTAAATCAAATGAGGGATATTTTCATTATTTTCTCTTTTTTAAATAGATAACGCTAGCGTATCCTATCTTTGCTGAAGCCCCGCAAACACGGGTCATGATCATTACCCTCATGTCATGAATCCCTCGTTGTGCTGCCCTTGTTCACATGACTTCGACAGCCACGAACTGGGTAATCATCCTCAACCGCCATCTCTAGCCAGAGGCAGATCTACATCCAAGAGTTGGCGGTCACATAAGTTCATTTTTTTATATTAAAATTTTTAAATTTTATAAATGCATTTCTTCTTTTGACCCCCAAAAACTTATAAATTCAAATTCCGACTTTTATTATCAAAATTTCTGGATCCGCTACTGAACCTAGCAGCAACATTTTCGACCTCTATCTCTTGTATCAGCATCGGAGACCTCCATGGAAAAAATGGAATGCGTGATTTGTTTCATGAAAACTGAGATCTGGTCATATGTTTCATGAATTTTTTTTGCATCAATGGCTAGGGTCAAGACAAGGACGTGCTCGTTGTGTGGGCCAAGAGCACCCCCTTCGAGTAAAAGCTTCTATAGCCGGTTGACCAAAATGAGGATCCCACTTAGCCCGTACGTCCTGACATAAGATTAGGATGACTCATAGCAACGGAATAATTAAGTCATAGTTCATTGGTTGAGTTTTAAATATGGTACTAGTAATTCTAGAGATGAAGAGACCATGCTTTGATAATTTTTAAAAGAACTTAAATTGATAGAATAAGATGAAGATTTTGTTGATCGGGCAAGAGGTTTTAGATTCATGTCGTGAGAGAAAGAATTGATGGAGGTTGCATGTGGTGGGTAGAGATCACAATGGTCAAGGTGAAGAGGAGTTGTAGGTTTGTGGAGCAGGGGGGTTATGGGGAGAAGGGAGAAGGCAAAGAGAGAGAATATTTTAGGGGTTGTTTTTGTTAAAAAAAAACGTAAAAAGGAATACGTGGAAGCAACCGATGCTTTGGTCATTCAGTTGACTCCTTGCTGCCAGTCCGTGCTTGCTGTCATGCTGGCAAAAGCGGGGCTTTCGGTCCGTTTTACCTGCGATCTCTGGATTGATTTATGCTAGTAAGGCTAGTCCGTTACTATTAAAGGATATGGATTTCGACTAAAATATCCGTAAAGCTGAATTTACATATGTAATAAAATTGTAATAAATTTGTAATAAGTAAAGATTAATGATCCGTTCGTTAAGACTGAATTTATTCTTTATAAAATCGTCTACTTTAATATATCATCTAACTAAAATCATTAGTTTATTACTTAAATATCTAAAATATTTTATAATAAACATAAAATAAGAAAAATAAAACAAAATATATAAACAAATATGAAAAATATCAACTCAAAATTTGTGAAAAGAAATGCATGAAAATAAAGCTAGGAAGTGTATCTTTACAATATAACGTAATATCTTAATTTTATTTTACTTAATTTTATTTTATAGATTTGTGTAGTTTAAAAAAAATGAGAGAGTTTTTATTGCTTATAAATTTTACCAGGGATGGAATTGGTACGTTATCAAATCTTTTTATTCCAATATCGTGTACAAACCCGTTATAATTTGTATGTAAAATCCTATACCGCTTACCAGCCAACTGTCTTTGGTACCACCTTAATTGGTACCAACTTTATTCGGTTAATATGTGTTAGTATTGTTTATGCACTATGAAAACTTGCCATTTTTTTTCTCAAATTTAAGTCAAATTTTGAGTTTTGAGGTAAGATGTTTAACGGGTTTTAATTGCAAATAATAAAACTTGCAAACATTCAAATGTTCAAATAATATAATTAAAGTTACAAAGTTTAATATCCAATACATAAAGATACAAAAAACAAATAAAAATAAATAAGCCGGTACCATGGTATACGACTTTCAATACCGTGTACCAACCAAGTTTGTATACTTGGTATGGTATTGCCAACCGACAATAATTGGTACCAATTAAATTGGTATCAACTTGATTGGTACAGTTGGTATACATGTTGGTTGGTTTAATTTTGTCATCCCTAAGTTTTATGTAGTATTTTGTTGTATTAATAAGGTTCAAAGATTATCTTGTATTTAATTATGTTTATAAGTTGTTTATGAGTTAATTTTATAAAATTCAAACATATTAAGTAGTTGTATTTATGTAATAATGAGTTGTAAATGTTGTATAACATAGTAAAAATATCGTGTGAATTTACTCACATTTGAACATACTTGTGATTGAAACTTTAAAAATCAGGTTAAAATTGAAATATATAAACATATAGCTATATATATACATATATATATATATAAAGAGAGAGAGAGAGAGAGAGAGAGAGAGAGAGAGGGGTGAGAGGTGGAAGTTCAAACGAGACAATGTGAGAATAACATCTAAGCCAAGAATTGTGTTTAAAATTACAATACTAGAGAAATTAAACTATTTTTCAAACTTAAATAATTAGTAAAACAATTTCTAATATTTTGAAGACATGGAAGGATAAAATTGGAAATTGATATCCTAAAATTCAAATAACACGATGTAGAATATTCCGATCATCTGGGTAGTGATAAGCATCATCGTCGACCTTGGGTTGTCACAAACAGCACAATGATAGCTTATATTCCCGTTCGAAGGTGAAACTGAAAACAAGGAAGAAATCGAGTTAGGGAAAGCGTATACTCTTCTTCGAAGGCATCGAGGAAGAAGATTGTACAGTCTATTTCGATGGTATCGAGGAAGAAGATCAAATGTATGTGTCTAATAACATAGCTTGATCACATATTACACTATAAGAGGAAGGAGCTTTAGAGAAGAAATTTTCAGAGAAGCTTTTAGAAGTGTATCTAAAGCTACAGTATAGAGAAGGATTTAAATGACAAAAATGAGAATTGTAACTAAAGGTTGGACGATATTTAAAGAAGGATTTATACGCTAATTATACGGTGTAAGAAATGTCGTTAAAAGTTTTAGAGAAGTTTTTTGTAAAATTGTCTCTAAAATGTTGCATCAATTCTTAGGAACACTTTTGTAAGCTTATCTAAAGATTAATAAAAAAATTAAGATTTTTAAAATTAAATAAAAGTATTTAGTTACCCCTTAAAAATGTATCTAAAAGATTTATATTAAAAAATAAATTAAAATTAAATAAAAAAATATAATGATCTAGAAGATTTATATTAAATATTAAATCAAAGTTAAATAATAAATATATGAATACCTTTCTCTTCTCTCTTACAGACCTCACGCCCTCACTTCTCGTCACTCAATCACAGACCTCATGCCCTCAAATCGCTCAATCACGCCCTCAAATCGCTCGAGTCTGTCGAATCATGTTGATCATCTCCATTGCTTGAATTAGTCTTTCTCTCTGCATCGATTGCTCGAACAACAGATACACAATCTCTAAAAGTTACAACGGTCCCTTTGTTCTATCTACCTAGTGTTATGTCTTAGTTCTCTCTTCAATTTTGTGTTAAAATTGTTTAAACTACCTCTCTGTTCTTGCTATTGATTCAACATAGTTAGGTATACTAAGTGAGGGTTTGTTGCAGACGCTTGATTTACGAAATTGAATATGGTCAAGGATTGAAGTTCCTTCTATTAGAATTGAGTTGAATTAAAACACATGTGTTTAGTTCTCTCCCCAAGTAGAAACTATATTTTTTTAAGCTCTTATTGGAACCTATCATATTCTGCAGATAATTTGTTTGAGAATATCATAACTTTGATTTGAGTTTGTCTCCGCTTGATATTTGTTGTCTTCATTTGAGATTTGAGATTTGAGAATATTATGCTCGAGTTATTCAGTATTTGGCATACTGTAATTAGTTTTCGTTTTTGCTAATTTAGCTTGGCCAGTTGTTTTTGACCCAACTCTCTAGTTGTCCACTTTCTGACCGGATTGATCGTGTAAGTTTGCTAACTGCATTGTTTAAGTAGGTGTTATGCATTGTTTAAGTAGGTGTTATGCATTGTTTAAGTAGATGTTTCATAGCTAAACTCATTATTGAAAATTTGTGTTGATGGTTTCTTAGATTTGTCTGTATAGTGAATAATCTCTTTTTAGGTGATCTTCTGAAAATGTCTAAATATTATGAGTAATCCGTTCACAGTTATGCACGTGATGACTTTAGTTATGCAAATCATTCATTCATAATGTTATTTTGTTGAAGCCGAACTTGCTTAGCGATTCATTTAATCCAGCTTCTGTTCCGATTCTAGACCTTATATATTATACTTCAAGACGCTACTGTAGTTTCCTTCAAAACGGTTGACACTTTGGATCTAAGTTGTTTATAGTAATACAAGAAACTCTACCAGCATTACTTACTTTTATCCATAAATTGTGGTTTTTCTCAGAGCCAAATGAGTTGTTTTGTAGCGGTTCACATCTGTAAAAATTGAGATATTATGTAGACATTCGATGGAGGATGAATCTAACCGAGATAGCATATCCC